TATTGCCATTTGTTGACAACAAATGTCAGTGGTACTTCAAATTATATCAATTAACATATAAATCAATTTAGTAAAGATATAATAAAATTAGGTAGTTTGACTTTATTTGAATAACCAGAGGTCTCTCGAGCGGGAAGGTCGACAGGGTAGCTTCCCTTCAATCTTAAAAAAATTTTCATTTTTTTCCAAAGAGATTCCAGCGTTGTATGTAGACGGTGGATTCAAGAGGCTTAGGTAGGAGAGCGCCAGGACAGATAATGGCTTGAGCAAGCTCAAATCCATCTTATATTGGACAGATAATGGATTAGATAGGTTCTATTTAATATAAACATTTTCTATTACGATTTAGTTTTCATTTTCTTCTGACAGATAACGCGTTGTTACAAGGTTGGTACACATTTCATCTACTACCAACTCATGTCCAATAAACACAGGCGGCACAGTCACAAGGCTTGAATAGGCTCAAACACTTTTCTCCTTCTAACGAATTGATCGGATTGAGCAGCGCATCATATTTTTCGTATAAATGTCAATATTTTTCATCGCCTCCGACAGCTAATAATAACATTTTCTTAATCAAGCAGGTTTAGAAAACGTTTTTCAGAAAGCATTGAAAGTTTTGTACAAATGCTGGATCATACATCGGCAATGACTTGAGGTGGGAATCCTCCATTACAAGTGAAGAAGAACTGTACAAAAAATCTGAATCAGATTAAATAGACTGTGTCTAGACTTTTATTCGCATTCAGTGACTAAGATTACATGCTTATTAAACATTTCTGCTTCGCCGCATACAGCTTTTCTCCAGTAAAGCAGATCAGAATGTCTTCTTTCGAAGGTCGTATTTCGATGAGCAAAAACATTCGCATGTTTCTTCAGATCCACGGGGTTTTTTGTATTTCATCTAAGTGGCTTTCAAAAACTGGTTGTCTCTCATGTTTACCTTCCAGATGAGGATCTGATAAAAAAAAGCTGAGCCTACTCTAGAATCAAAACATTTTATTGCCTATGGAAGATGTAAATCGACGATTTTATTAGTGAAAGCTAAATTTTCTTTGATCTTTATTTCACAGATACTAATAATATCACGCCATCTATCGTGCAATCATTATATCTGAAAATCTAGATAAAACTAGTGACATCTATTCAAATATGAATTTCAATTTTTATAAATATTAAAAATAATATTTAATCATCAGTAATTCATATTTTATTTTTTTTAAATAAGAAAATTAAACTATCATCAATTGTTATCCGTCCTATCAACGAATCATATTCGATGCTCTTAAAAAAAACGACAAAGCAAAAAAAGAAATTTATTTCTTCATTTAATACCTCAAGTTAATCGATCTATCAATTAAAAAATAAAAAAAAAAGAAGAATGTGTGATTTTCTAGTACATCGTACACATTTATATAAACCACGTCTTTCATCAATATTAAGTTTAGCTCATAATCATCATCAAAATTCATCATCAAATCATTTATTAGCTGTACTTCGTTCTGATCATTCAATTGAATTATGGAATACTCATGATTCATTTACACTTGAACGTACAATTCAACCACGTAATGCATCACATTCACCTGAACTTGTTCTATGGCTTGAAAAATATTTAATAACAGCTGGTCTTGATGGACAATTAATAGTTTATGATCCAATAACATTTGAAATTTTAACATCATGTCATGCAGCTGGTGGTGCTATATGGAGTATAACTAAACATGAAACAACTCGACGAATTGCTGTTGGTACTGAAACTGGACATGTAAACATTTATCAACTTGATGAAGTAAACAAAAAAAAGACCAAAAAATTTCTTTGAAATATTTAAAAGACATCTTTCTATTTTAAAGGATGCTAGTCAATTTTCTCTAGCTACATCTGTATGTAAACAAGCTGCACGTATTGTATCATTAGCATGGCATACAACAGATGATGATTTTCTTGTTGCTGGAAGTATTAATCGAATATATATATGTTCAACAAAACAAAATCGTGCTATTCAACAAATTAATGTTGGAAAATTATCTTCAACATCAAATAGACGTGGACAAAAAGATACAATTATTTGGTGTTTAGCTGTAACTGATGATTATACTGTTTTTAGTGGAGATTCATCAGGTCGAACATGTGTATGGGATGCTGTTTATGGTACATTAATTCGGTAATAATTTCATGATAGTTTAAAGAATATGATAGTAATCGAGTATAGTAAAAAAAAATTACAGTGCAGACCAATTGAATTTTCGTCTTTTACTTTTCTTTCGTTTTTGTTCCTTTAATCCCTTTATTTTTTTTAACATACTCTATACATAAGGAAGAAAGTACAGAACAAGCTGCATCTTATGGTATATTCAGCTTGAACAACAAATAAAGTTTAATAGATAAAAAGTTAATTAGAAAAAAAATAGTATTATTGTTTTTGTCTGCAATATACATCACAGTCTAAATTATAATAAAAAATCGTTAGGACCGGTCATAATATTCATTAATTCCATATGTCATATGACATTTTCGATGTGCATTACTAATTTTTTTTTCTTGATAACGAATAAAACGTTTGCAATAATAGGAAAGGTATGTCTATTACAACTAATAGATGTTGAATTCGAATTTATTGTTTAAATAAATGCCAAAGTGGATTATCCAATGGTGATAAATACTTTGCAGATGTTGTTGACATACAAAGAATTTTCACAATCGATTTACATTTATCAGCTCGTAAAGCTTGCAACATATCTCTTGACACAAACCAAAGAGATATTGTCGATACACTTTAGTGGGTTGATATTTCGTTCGATTGTAATCTGTATATGTATATATACATATATGAGAAGCAAATGGGTATCGTTAGATAATCGAACATGAAAGAAGAAAAACGAACAAACTATAGTGTCGTCATTCTCACGTGCAAATCGATATGATACATAACGTAATATGATTTGATTTCCAACTGTGTAGGTTCAAATGTTTCATCAGTAAAAAATTCTTATCTTTTGCCTATTAATTTAAATATATTTATAGACAGAATGCTACATAAATATATAGTATGGACTATCAGAACTCATCGAATCTACGTGTGTTAACATAAAAACAATAAGCAAACAAAATTCACTTAACTCCTTACGCTATATATTATAGAAAAAAAAACAACACTATTTTTTTTCTAATTAACGTTTTATCTT